GATTTGGGCTTGCTGTGCTTCCTGGGCCCATTGGGCCTCCCTTAGAATAGTAGGAGTCTATGGGCCGGGGGTTCCTGGGCCATATACTCCATCACATGGGTTCTACAGGACATGGTTGTGGTCTTTTCGACCATAATCTAGTTGTCATAAGTAGGGTGGGAGCAAAGGACAGACCGTTGGAGGTAGAGCTTAACCATGCGGAATTATGGGTGCAGATTCACAACTTACCCCTCAGTTTTATAACTGAGACAATGGCGATTGGTATCGGTCGATACCTCGGAAAGCTGATACAAATCGATGTAAGAACTCTGAATGGGAAAAGAAAGAGTTTGTATGTATACGTGTGATGATAGATATAAGAAATGCTTTGAAGAGAAGAACTCAGGTCAGGGAAGTAAGAGATAGTTGGTTCTGGTCACAGTGACAAATACCGCTCATCAAACACCAATGTGGGGCCATGGGTGGCTGAGAGAGCATACAGACCATACATGAGGGCAGACCTGAGGCGAGGAGGAATCCACCTGAGGAATAAATGACTCATCCCGAGTACATGACATGAGCTGGAGAACACAACGGAAAGAGAGGAAAAACAAAGTCAACTGATAGGGTGCCAAGAGAAGAGTGTTGATGCAGGTTGCTATTTGGTTCAGGGGCTGATTTCAAGATGAAAGGAGAAAGTGCGAATGGAAGAGGAGCCAAGTCATGATAGAGATCTAGAAGAAGGTGAATCCAGGAAGCGCAGGGCAGTGGATTTGGAGAACCTGGTGGAAGTTGAAGTTAATATGGAGGTAGATGACACCGGTTCAAAAAACGGTGTTGCGGCGGTGCTACTGAATCAGCACCACCTAATATTTCTTTAGTTGGTGAAAGTGGTAGTTTTCCTTTGGAGGTGGCTGGAGAAACCTCTTCTTCTGTCCCGATGGCTGGTCAAATCGGAATGGCGTCTTTGGTTGTGGTCGATCAAACCTCTTCTCTCATGCTGGTGGCCGGTAAAATCGGGAATTATGACTCTACTATTCCTTTTCAACTATCGAACTCTAGTTCTTTATCTATTTGTCTTAATAGCAAGTACAGCGATGATGTTAGAATAGGCTTCCATTATGTGAGGTTAGCGATCTGGCATGGCCTTCCGAGGTTGACTAGTTCTATGTCTCACTCTATGGTTGCTTTGAGCTATTGCTCTGCTTTGTCTGTTGTTACCTTTAATATCATTAATAAATGAGTGTTTTTCTTACCAAAAAAACTTCCTAGCTAATGTTCTCATTTGTATTCTAGAGAATATTTAGCACTTTTAAATGACAACTTAATAATCAAATATTAAAATTCGGAAAATTATGATTACCCTTTTGATTTGGTCATATTTATTATTAGTCTAACCCTGTATTTTTTAAAGTCCATTATGCATGTACCCACCCCTTGAGATTTAGTTTTTTGTTGAAACCCCCCTTCCATTATGAGAAAAGTTGTGTAAAATGTCCTCTCTTAAAATTGAACCGTAAAACGGCAAAATATTCTTTGATGCCTTAGCTTCCTCGTTTCCTTACTTTTGCTACAATGTTCATCGATCTCCAACATTAAATAAAAACTAAATAAGCCTTAATCACAGAATAAATATAAAAAATCACATTCCACCAATTAATTATATTCCACGCTGCATGTATACAAACATAACCTAGCTATTGAGATGCCCTTATAAACTTTTGTAAGATGCCTAGTATCGAGGGAATAGCTACAGCAGCGGCAAGAGATGACAAAATTGCCATTTTCCAGCTCAATATATAACTGAAATCTTGCAACGTAGTAGTCAGTCACTTGGAGAATATATTTCAACAATTCTTAGTGTACACTTTTTTATACACATCATTACACTCTCATTTATGTGAGAGTTTTTTTTGTCTGTGAATCTGAGTCCACAGACAAAAACTGATTTGTTTTGTCTGTGAAAAATTCTACAGACAAAACAGGTCACTCTTTGTCTGTGGACTGGGATTCACAGACAAAAAAAACTCTCAGACACGGAGTGTACAAAAAAGTGTACAAAAGGAATTTTTGAATATAAAAAAGTGTACAAAAGGAAATTTTGAATATATTTTTGGTGGCAAAACTTGTCTAAACCTTAAAGTTTCCCCTTACCAGGCAATGTTGACCTACTCAAGGATGAATTGTATTATATTTGATGAAATAAGTACAAACAAATATAATTATGTTGAGATTAGACACGATCCTAGTTGTAACTCAAAATTCTGACCATTTATAATATGCAAAATAAATGATGATGTTATCCAAAATTAGAAAATGGTGGAACAACGACCAGTCCTAGTCTAAATATTATTTGTCTTTCAGTGATATTGGGACGGAAGGGTGTGACACGATTATTAGAAAAGTTGATATGAGTGATTGATATTAATTGATAAAGTAAGAATAAAGTAAAAATGATTTAAAGTTACACAAACTTTACTAAATTTGGTAAAAGACAATTTTAGCGGGATTTTCTGAAAATGTGAAATAGGATAATATTAGCGGAACGGAGGGAGTATTATTTAGAGCTGGATTGAAAACTAAACCTATTATTATCGATAAATGTACATCCATTAAAATAAATTAATCTACACGAATTAGACAAAAAAGATGAGTGCAACACCCAATTGGAATTAGACAATTAATTAATTAATCTACTTGGATCATTCCCAAGGATGCAGCAATGCCCGGGGGTGGACCCGGGCCGGTTCCGGGCCTAGGCCCGGGCGGGCTTTTTTTCGGAATGTTGGGTCCGGAACCGGCCCGGGTTGATACCGGGTCTGGGCCAAACTTGGCCGGTCCGGTCCGGTGCTATGTTTTTTTTGGCTTTCTAATTAACCCCCGACCCCCCTCCCTCACCCCCAAAACTTCCCCCCAAAACACCCAGCCCTACCCAAGGAAAAGAAAAAAATTGAAAAACAAAAAATAATGAACTGGACCCGGCCCGAACCACCCGGGCCGGTTCATGAAAATCATGGCCCAGAACCGATCCGTCAGAACCGCCCAAACCGGGCTAAAGCCCGGAACCGGCCATCCGGGCCCGCACAGTAGTGGTCCGGTCTGGTTCCGGGCCGGTTCGGCCTGGTTGGATCCATGCCTAGCAGTGTCGTTGGAGAAAACTTCTGTTAATAAATGTTGCCTCCCGTTGAAGCTCTTCTATTTGAATTACCACACAAGTACTTCAAGAAATGAGTGCAACACCCAATTGGAATTATCATTTGCAAGTACCGTGGACAGAGTCCCACGCTCTATCTGTCAGATTGTGATTACAATCCAATTTATATCCTCCCAACGTACCGTCCGGTCAGTGTTGGGGGGCTCAGGAATGGGGTGTCATCCTCTTCTTTTTTTGAAACTAAAGTTCCGCGTCGGGACCAAAACCGAACCTAGCGGGAAAGACTAAAGAGACACCGAAATTTCCTGATCTGGTAAATGTCTAATATCGACTTATTTTATAATTATTCAAGTCTGATCTGAAATGGTTCAGGACTGAAAACAATCTGAATAAAAACATCCTTAAACTGTTAGGAAGCATTTCAGAAAGGGTGCAGGTACATTTAAAAGATAAAAATGTAAGGATAGGTCTGTCAATGGGTTGGATCTAGACCCAGACTCGGCCCGGACCCTTTTGTTTTAGCGGGTATGAGTCTATATTTTATTCTTTTTATCCGGACCCGAACCCGTTAGTATCTTTAATAAACGAGTCAGATATGGTACACATGATTCCGGCCCGTCAAGAACCCGGACCTGTTTAAAATTTCTTATAAGTATATAAAATAATTAGTAATAATACTTCAAATAAAAAAATACAAACTAATACACCCACATACATACTAATACATAAAGTTATTAGTTGTGATTCTTTAATTAAAAAGATATGCACTAATACATACCTAATGTATAAGTGATACTGATAGAGATTGTGAAATACCCTAAAACTAATACCCACAGACCATAGTGGCGATTTATACATATAGATAAAGTGTGTAATGAGCTTGATAGGCAAAACCCAATATTTAGGGTTATTTAGACTTTGCACCCTCTTTTATACCCCTAATTAGCCTTTGCACCCTAATTCGAAATTTGTTAGTATTTACACCCTAAACTAACGAGGTCTGATAGTTAGCCTTCCAAACAATTCGAAAGGACATGAATACCCTCCTGGCAGCTTGGTGCTACACATCCTAAACTTCCCAGACAGCTCCCAATCCATCCTTTATTAACACAATACCCTCCTGGCATCCTACCCATCCTAAATGACATAAGCCTTCCCAGATAGCTCCCAATCCCAGACTTCCCAGCCAGCTCCCAATCCTAAAAAAATGCACACTAATGACATTACCCAGAAGTGAGTCAAACACAAATCCCAGAACACCAATCTCGGCAGGCCTATTGAAAAAAGAGATACAACATGAAGATAAAAGATAAGAACATAATTTAAATCTAAGAAAGAAAAAACAGATCATATGTCAACAACTCCCTTACTAGTCAAAGTACAATAAATGTATACATCAAACCATAAATGAGTCATAAATGCTCATCCAACAATATGTAACTACCCTTCCACATTACTCCCTATAAATCAATACACATTTCAGGTTGGAAAAAGCTGCTTATTGCCCTTCTTGAATACTCGTATGGCTGCAGGGGAAGGGGGGAAAAGTTGGAACAATGTATGAGTTTTGTTCATTTCATTTGATCTTGCTAACAAGACTAACATATTATCTTTTGTTTAGTGTTTCCATTGTGGAGAACAAGGTCATTGGGCCAAGTCATGCACCTATGAACACATTCCTTGTATAGAGGGCTGCCCAAACAACATGGACTTATACACATCTCAACAATCAAGAAGCTATGGATGAAGATTCCTAAGATGGAGAGGTCAGCCCCAATGTCAAGCATTCAAATGGGTAGATTTACCAAAACAGAAAGAAATAGCAAGAGATGTACCAACCAAGGAAACATCATCCACAAGTGAAGCAATAACAACCAGTCCTAGCCAAAACCATAATGTTAAAGTCACTGTAGAACACGATGGGGGGAAAGTAACATATGAAGGTCAAGTATGTGATGTAATTCAACTTATGAGTAAAAAACTCATTATATAATATAACTGTTTTGATCTACAAACCTTTCATATTACATTGAGCAAAAAACTGCAAATGCAAAGTGTTTATACTTTGTTGTTCCTGCCATCATTCTCACAATTATGTTCTTGTTCCTGCCATCATTCCTGCAAGTGCCCCTCTATTCTTGTTCCTGCCATCATTCTCACAATTATGTTCTTCTTGGAGAGACTTCACTTCAGTTGTGTGTCCATCATTTTTTCTAATTACATAACACCTCCAAGGACATCTTTCCCCTTTACATCTCAAAATCAGCTTATCTGCACAATTTTTCTGAAATATGATCTCAAATTTATTCTTGATGGCATACATTATAATGTACTTTCTGCATGCATCCATAGTGACCCGTTGTTTTCCTATTGCCAAGTCTAATTGGTCTTCCCATTGCACAGAACCTGAAGTAATAAAAGCTTCCTCATTGCAGTCATAAGCTTTCTATGGCATACCATTCAACACCTCACCTATATCCTCCCCATTTGTTGTGCCTTGTACATCATCCCTATCACTCCCTTCTTCTGTATAAGAACTACAGTCATGTAATTCCTCATCTGATCCATTCATATCATCTGATTCATTCAGATCATACCCATCTAGTCCATCAACAATTTGCTCAAATTGGATACCTACATAGCACAATACAATAACATGTATATCAACAATATAAATAAGTCATTTACTTTAATACATATACAACACAACATAATTTCCTTATATTGAACCAAGAAATGAGCATATACCTTCATAAAACTGTGAGCTATCCTCTACATTTGGCACATTCAGAGAGTTGTTCAGTGGAGGTAATTCAATGAATATATCACCAAAACCATCACTATTTGTTCTTTCATCTATGCTAGATTCATAGAATGGTACCCTAACTGAAATCATTCAAATAACTCATCTTAATAATCAAAAATTAAAAAATATGTATAAAAAACTGAATATAACATACTCTTTATAAAAGAATCTTCATAATCAAATATGACAAACTAAGCATCATTCAACTTACTTGGAGCCGGTAAAGAATCCATCTTTCTCTTCACAGGAAGCTTTGATGTCCTCTGAATCCTTTGCACACCACGCTGTATAGGTACTCCTGAATCCACCCATACGTTGTCACCATCTTCCATTCTATTTCCTTCGTTCATCCCAACCCTAATTCACTCGCACCAAGCCAATTGGGAGAACATTCAAATTGACGCCCTTTGAAAAAGAAGTCTGCGAACGATTGTGGAAGTTAGTTTCATCAGGGCATTGACGTCATTTTACACCTCTGTTTACCTATTGACAGATAACTAACGGATGGAGGGTGTAGATACTAACAATTTTCGAATTAGGGTGCAAACGCTAATTAAGGGTATAAAAGAGGGTGCAAAGGCTAAATAACCTCAATATTTATCATAACAAGCGTGTGAGAATTGTTTGTATTTCTCAATGACTTCATTTGCTACATCATTCTCGGATTCACCAGAACATCCCAGTGTCTTTAACATCTCAAAGAGTGTGAGCTCCAATTCTTTAGTAAAGAACTCATTCAGCTTTCTACTAACTAGATTGAGACTTGAATCTACATTTCCATCGGGTACACGTGTATCCGTACATCAATGCAATCGTGCGCTGCCTCACCTCCATAAATCAATCGGCTTTGCCCCTCCATAAACTCAGCCCCCCTCCCAGTGCAGTCGCCAGTCCCCACCCTCGGCTCCTACTCTTTTTCCGCCACATATTTGGAGGTTATTGGTATTATTATATCATTGTCAAATATAATATGTGATGGAGTATATGGCCCGGGAACCCCCGGCCCACAGACTCCTACTACTCCAGCGAAGGCCCAACAGGCCCGGAAGGCCCAACAGGCCCAGATCACAGCACCCAGAGTACCAAGCAGCCCGCACTACGCGCCAGGGGTGCCTTCGGCCCCCTGGCCGAAGGCTCTAAAACTCTCACAGAACGGGTTTCTCAAGCAAATTAAGAAACTGGGAGAAAACGGCGAAAACAGTAGCCCTCGGCACTGTGAGCCCTCGGCACCAGCGTGCCATCGGTTGGAGGAGCCCTCGGCTACTGCTCTATAGCCGAAGGCATCTTACTCGACAAGATATCCGCCTCACATGCGTACAGATCACCGTATCCTGCACAGACGTCCCATCCAACAGCCGCATTAAATGCGGCCACATGCGGCCGCCAGCGCCAATCAGTTGAGGTGACCCCTCGGCCAATGAGCGCTTGACACGTGTCTCTGTACGGCATTTATTGCTACTATAAATAGCACCCCATTTCCCCATTTGTAACCACGCTGAAAACGCTCCACATTTATAATACACTCTCTCTTTACTTGCTCTGACTTCTCTAAGTTATTCCCAGCAATAACCCTTCGGATATATACCCCCGGGTAGACTATCCATCATTTGGTGCTCTCGTTGAGAGCTCGAACAATCGAGTAAGACACCCTCCCCCTTCACCAAACACTAGCCCTCTACCAAAATGGTGAGAACAACACGTGCCAACTCCAAAAACGTAGAAGACAAGAACCTGGCCCTCGGCGACGTCAACGCCCCCGAAGCCTCTCATAGGGCTCCCGAGGGCGGTGTCATCGCTGGGCTGGAACAGGCGGCTGTCGACCTACGCCTTCAGATCCAACAAAATGCCCCCGATGCCCGCCTCGGCATCGAGGCCAAGAAGAAAAACCGGAGCGATGACCAAGTCAGCCCTCCGGTTCTCACCATCGACGTACAATCGGCGCTCTCCGCCTTCATCCAAACGCTCACTCAGAACCCGGGTGCCTTCGGCACCCTGGCTCCGGCTCACCCCCAGGTTGGGAAAAACATCATACTTCCCCCTCCGTCACACCCCTTCGGAAATCCCACCCCTCGGGTGAGGAACGACGAAGGGGTAGTGGCCCAGGACACGTCCTCCAAGGAAGTACAGTCTCGGGATCGCCACAATGACAACAGGGAGAGGCCCCGCACTTCCGCCCTCAACCGGCTCGGAGGAGGGCCAGACCGCCGAGGGGTCCAAGACCGCCTCGGAGGAAAGGCACTCCAAAGGCCCCAGGAAAGTGGAGGGTCTGTCTCGAGGGCAGACGAGGAGCGTCCCCCTCAGGACAAGGGCAAGGCACCCCTTCATGCCAATGATGCTCGCCACCAAATCAACCAGGCCCACTCAGCCCGGGTTCGTTCGCAGGGGGCGGAGACCCTCCCGAAGGATCCCCGGGACGAGATTATCGCGGCCCTCCAACGCCGGCTTGACGAAATGGAGTCCAACAAGGCTCACGCCACCACCTCCACCCCTCATTCAGATCTCAAATACGAGGCCATGATGGCCAAAATGGAGGAGTTACAGAAGAAGGTGGTCGAGGGCTCCGGGGAACCTGTCATCCAGCTATGGACCCGGACGCCATTTACCCCAAGGGTATTGGCGGCCCGGATCCCGGAAAAATACCGAGGGCAACACATACAACCCTACAACGGGAAGACGGACCCCCAGGAACACTACAGCAAATATCAGAACAGTATGATGATGGTAGGGGCGTCAGACGAATATTTGTGTCGTTGGTTCCTCTCCACCTTAGAGGGGCCGGCATACGAGTGGTTCAACAGGCTGCCCGAGGGCTGCATTGATTCATGGCAAGAACTCGCCCAGCGATTCTTGACACAATTTGCCGGGAGGCGTCGCACAAGGAAGCACTTCTCCCACCTCCTAACAATACGCCAAAAGAGGGATGAGACCCTTCGGGACTTCCTGGAGCGATGGAGGATGGAAGCTGACAAAGTCGACGGTGCTGATGACGGGACCCTCCTGGCCCTCCTACAAACCGTCCTCCGCACCGACAACTTTTCGAGGAGCCTCATCATTGAACCCCCCCACGACTACATAAGGGCTTTGCAGCGGGGGGACCGATATGCTGAGGCCGAGGAGGTAGAAAAATATCATCAGCATCCGGATCAGCAGCCCCCGAGGGCTGACAACAAAAACAACCGAGGGCCGGGGGCTCCTCCGAATCACCCCAAACCTTCAGGACCCTCTGATGACCGCCCTCGGCAAGGCCAAGCCAAGCCCGGGGGAGGTTATAAGAGCAACCCTAAGACTTGGGCCCAGCCCATTCTCCTGGACCGCCCTCGGACACCATTGACGCACCCCGTCAGCATCATCCTTGATTTTGCCGAGGAGAGGGGCCTCGTTGAGCGCGACTCTCGCGCACCCCCTGAGGTACATGCTATCAACCCTCAGTTCCCATACTGTCGCTTCCATCGGCACCAGGGGCACAGAACCGATGACTGCCATCAGCTAAAAACGGCCATCGAGAGGTTAATACAAGCGGGACACCTGTCCCAATTTGTTCAGAGCCCTCGGCAGGAGGGACCTTCTCATCAGGGACCTCCCTGAGGGCACCACACGAAGGTGAACGCTTGGGTGAACCCGAACACCATCCCCCTCGGCAAGAAGAGGGAGATCGGAAACTTGGAGGAAGAGGAGGAGGAGTACCCCCACTACCAGGAGAAAAAACGCCACATCCTCATGATCACCGGTGGCAATACTGGGGGCGATTCCACCAGCCAGCGAAAGAAGTGGGCTCAATCGCTTTACGTGGGGGAAGTCACTCATATGCCCCCGGTAAAGCGACTGAGGGAGGAACCCATCACCTTCACCAACGCAGATCTCCCTCCTACTTCATCTCCTCACAGGGATGCCTTGGTGATTCGGACTGAAATAAACGACACCATTATTCACCGAACTTACATTGACACGGGCAGCTCCGTCAATGTGATGTACCTCAGCACCTTCAGAGAGCTGCATCTGGAGAGGGGGTCCCTTCGGCCCATTAAGACCCCTCTTGCCGGCTTCACCGGCGACACTATTGATTCCGAGGGGGTAATAACCCTCCCGGTGATCTTCGGCGACGGGCTCCATGGAGCCCAGCTCGAAGTGGAGTTCGTCGTCGTCAACATCGACTGCGCCCACAACATCATCCTCGGCCGGCCAGCCCTCGAGGACCTCGAGGCCATCATCTCCATGAGGCACCTCTGCCTCAAGTTTCCCGCCGAGGGGGGCATTGGCTACTCCCGGGGGAATCAGAAAATTGCCCGCGCCTGCTATCTTCAAGTCACTAAGAAGGTAAGTAAGACGGAATTCCGTGTTGACACCATCACCGGAACCATCGACCAAGAGGAAAGAAGGCCGAGGGCTGAACCGGCCGAGGACGTAGAAGACTTTGCGCTCGATCCGGCCCAGCCGGAGAGAGTCGTGAAGATTGGAGCCCAGTTCCCTGAAGATTTGAAGACCGGTATCACCGACGCCCTCCGCGCCTACTCCACTGTCTTTGCATGGGGGCCGGAGGACATGCCGGGAATCAGCCGAAGGGTCATCACCCACCGCCTCTCGGTGGACCCCTCGGCAAAAGCAGTACAAAAACGAAGAAGACCCCTCTCCGCCGAGAGGTGGGAATTTGTGAAGAAGGAGGTCGCCATGCTCCTCTCAATTAAGCACATCAAGGAGGTGAAATACCCCTCATGGCTAGCAAATGTAGTCCTCGCACAGAAGCCCCCTACGTTCCGCATGTGCGTGGACTACACCGATCTCAACAAGGCATGCCCTATGGATCCATTTCCTCTACCAAACATTGATCAACTGGTGGATGAGACCGCAGGGTGTGAGATCATGTCCTTCCTCGATGCCTTCCGAGGGTATCACCAAATTTTCATCAACATGGAGCCCCCACGCAGTGTGAAGGAAGTTCAACGGTTGACGGGCCGCCTGGCAGCCCTCAACCGCTTTCTATCTAAATCAGCGGAGAAGTCTCTACCCTTCTTCCAGATCATGAGGAAGACGGCTGGCTTTCTATGGACTCCAGAATGCCAGGGGGCTTTCGACGAGCTCAAACGGTATCTATCTTCACCCCTGTGCTATCCAAACCAAAGGTAGGGGAAACCCTCTATCTCTACCTTGGGGTCAGCCCGGCGGCTATCAGCTCTGTGCTCATCCGGGAGGAAGACGGCATCCAACATGCCATCTTCTACGTTAGCAAGACTCTAAGGGAGGCCGAACTCAGGTACTCCCCTGTGGAAAAAACGGTGTTAGCCATCGTTTGGACTGTCAAGAAGTTGGGCCACTACTTTCAGGCTCACCCGGTTCAGGTCCTCACCCATCAACCCCTCGGCGCCCTCATGAGGAGCCCCACCAGCTCCTCCCGCATGGTGAAATGGGCTATCTTCTTGAGCCAATACAACATTGACATCCGTCCGAGGCCTGCCATCAAGGGCCAAGCCCTGGCGGACTTTGTGACGGAATGTACCGCAAGGGCAGCCACGGACGGGGAGCCCTCGGCCACCTCGGACGACTGGTGGACCCTCTACACCGACGGCTCCTCCGCGACCAAAGCATGCGGGGGAGGGGTAGTCCTCATTACTCCCGAGGGCTTCAGAGCTTACTATGCAATCCGCTTCTCCTTCAAAGTCTCCAACAACGAGGCCGAATATGAGGCCCTCCTATGTGGCCTTCGGCTGGCTGCCAACATGAGGGCTCGGCAGATCCACATCAAATGCGACTCCAAGTTGGTCGTCGGCCAAATCTCCGAAGAATATGAGGCCAAGGAGGGAAGAATGAAACAATACAAGGAAGCGGCCAAGGAGTTGCTTAAGGTATTTGAGGCACACTCTCTCACTCAAATACCGAGGGCTCAGAACTCCGATGCCGACATATTATCTAAGCTCTCGGCCGACTCCCCCGAGCACATCTCCAAAATTGCCAAAATTGAGGAACTCAGCCTCTCAAGTATCCATGCGAGCCCCGTTATGAACATACAACAACGCCAAGAGGATTGGGTCTCAGATATCACCACCTTCATCTCCACAGGGCAGCTACCCGAGAATGAGACCCGCGCTAAACTGGCAAAGCTGAGGGCTCCTAGCTACACCATCGAAGATGGAAGGCTCTACAAACGATCTTACAATGGCACGCTACTTCGATGCCTTCATCAAGATGAGGCCGAGGTCGCAATGGAGGAAGTGCACAGCGGCACTTGCTCAGCTCACCAGGGACCCTTCTCCATGTCCCGAAGGCTCATTCTCCAGGGCTACTTCTGGCCAACCATGGCCAGAGATTGTGCTGACCTTGCCCGGAGGTGCACCGCATGTCAACATTTCCAGAAAGCCCCCGGCAGGCCAGCGGTCAACTATGCCCCCATCAGCACATCTGTCCCTTTTTCTCGATGGGGGATAGACCTTGTGGGCCCTCTGCCGAGGGGTACCTCCAACAACAGGTACATCATTGTGGCCATCGACTACTTTACCAAATGGGTGGAGGCTGAGCCCCTCGCTAGTATCACAGAGGCGAAGTGCCGTCATTTTGTCCTCAAGAACATCCTCACAAGGTTTGGCGTCCCTCAGCAGATCATCTCCGACGATGGGACACAATTTGAGGCAGCCCCCTTCTGTGCCCTTCTGGAGGCATGGGGCATCAAGCACACCTTCTCCTCCGTTGCATACCCTCAAGGCAACGGGCAAGTAGAGAATGCCAACGGGACCTTGCTCGAGGGCCTCAAAAAGAAGCTGGAGGCCGAGGGCGGTGGCTGGGTGGAAGAACTCCACAACATCCTTTGGGCCTACCGCACCACCCCTCGGCGAGCAACAGGTGAAACACCTTTCTCCCTATGCTACGGTTTTGAAGCCAAAGCTCCTACGGAAGTCACTCTTCCCACCCGGAGGGTGATCCAATATGACCCCGAGGTCAACGACAGCAACATGGCCCTCGACCTCCACCTCATTTCAGAACGTCGGGAGCAGGCCTTCATCCGGGCAGAAAACTACCGAAGGCAAGTCAAAAGCTACATCAACGCCAAAGTTCGCACCAGGGAATTCCAAGTGGGGGACTATGTCCTCCGGAGGAGGGAAGCCAGCCAACCAACCGAGGGAGGAAAAATGGCACCAAAATTCGAAGGCCCCTACATCATAGCAGCCATCATCAAACTCGGGACTTACAAGCTCAAACGCCCCGACGGGAAAGAAGTCCCTAGGCACTGGAATGTACACCATTTAGTTAAATTTTACCAATAATGAAAGAGCGGCCAAACCCTCATAACTAATGAATGTACTATCCTATGGCCCAAGGCCTCCACTTTTGAAGAATGAAGATACATTCAAGACATCAAGCCCTCATACTGACTACAGGCCCCAGGCCTCACCACGAGAAGAACCCCCTCCGGCACCGAGTGCCGAGGGTGGACACCATCAACACCTACGACAACAGTGAAAACACCATGTGTTTTCAGTCAAGACCCCTCGGTACCAAGTACCGAGGGAGGGAACTCCTATCACCAACAACAAGGAACGCCATGTGTTTCATTTCCCTTCGGCACCCAGTGCCGAGGGTACATCCCCGCCCTCAACTTCGAAGATAAGAACACCGAGTGTTCCTACAGAAGACCCTTCGGTACCAAGTACCGAGGGAAGACATCTCCATCAACTACAACAAAAGAGAACACCAAGTGTTCCTACAGAAGACCCCTCGGTACCAAGTACCGGGGGCTACACATCGAAACTAACACCAAGTGTTGTTTCTAAAAGCCGTACCCCACGAGGACGCATATACCGAAGGCGCCACCATCGGTGCCGGCGGCACGTAGTGCCCCCGGCCATTTGCAACTAGTGTGCAAATGAAAACCCTTCCTTGAAACGCTTTCCGCGTCACTACCCCCAGGGTATGACAGGCATGAGAAATGCCCAGGATTCAACTTTCAAAAACGGAACGTTATCCGCGTCATCACCCCAAGGGTATGACAGGCACGAGAAATGCCCAGGATTCGACTTCCAAACCGAAACGCTCCCCGCGCCACCACCCCAAGGGTGTGGCAGGCCACGGACCATGTCTAGCGCCGAGGGGACGACTTTCAAAAATGAGGCGCTTTCCGCGCCATCCCCCAAGGGGAGGCAGGTTACGGACCACCATATCTTGTGCCCAGGAAACGACCCTCGATCCCCTCGGAACTCGGAAGGTTAACCCGAGGGAGGAGAGCCATTGGTGTATTCTAATGGTCTCCTAATAGGCCCAGCCTTACCAAAAAACCAAGTTTCTTGATGCCTTCCCGTCACCACCAACCAAAAAAAAAAGGGGGGGGGGGGGGTGAAGGGGAGTAGACTCAGCGAGAAATCAAAGAGTACACTCCAACAGATCACAACATGCCGAGGGCTCCCCACAGGAACACCTCCGGTAACTGAAGTCTCCTATTTCCCGAAGGATACTACTCGAACAAATAGCATCAAGAAACGGCTAAGTCCACTGCCTTGTCACCTCCGGTCACACAAACACCGAAGGCTTCAACAATACAAAGGGACTGGACTATCCAAAGTACACTAAAACGGTACCTTCAAACAAATACCGAAGGCATCTGTTACGCACTAGTACCGAGGGCCCTTACCCCATGACAAGGGTCAAATTCTACAACTTTTAAAGTGTATGCCGAGGGCACACACTCCTCATTGGCTTTCTTCACAACAACAGGATTCAACATCAATTTATGCTTAGAAAATATTCTAAGTCCTGAATGAGTAGCCCCCGGGCATCTCGCAAAGTAATGTAGAGTCAGAGGGCACCTATCACCCGAAGGCTACACAAGGAAGCAACACTTGAAAAAATTCTAAGTCCTAAAGATTGGGCCCCCGGCCCAATCAATATTACAGCCAAGGGAATATGGTAACCGAAGGCCATGCAATACAACAACACTTAAAAATAATAATAATAATATTCTGTCCTAAATGAGCAGCCCCCGGGCATCTCGCAAAGTGATGTGGAGTCAGAGGGTACCTATCACCCGAAGGCTCCCAAGGGAAAATCTACACTTAGAATATTTTCTAAGTCCTACATGTTTTTCCCCCGGTCAACTACTCATACATCAAGAAGGGATGCCATCTCCCGAAGGCTCTCAAGGGAAAAACTGCACTTAGAAATCTTTCTAAGTCCTACATATTTCACCCTCAACTTATAAAGGGACCCAATAGCCGAAGGCTACCTATCAATCGAAGGCTACAGTACACAAGGAATCAACACTGAAGAAAAAATTCTAAGTCCCAAAGAATTGGCCCCCGGCCTAATCAATATTTCAGTTGGGGCTCCACAGTAGCCGAAGGCTACGTGACATACCACACTTGCAAAAAATTTCTAAGTCCTGTACATTGGGCCCTCGGTCCAATATTCACACATCAGGAAGGGATGCCATATCCCGAGGGCTCTCAAGGGAAAATCTACACTTAGAAATTTTTCTAAGTCCTAGGAATTGGGTTACTACAAAAACCCGAAGGCCCATGCCGTGCTACGCTTAGAAAAATTTTCTAAGTCCTAATTCCTGCTGAACCCTCGGTTGCATATCCAGCAGAGGGTGCCCAACTACCGAAGGCTTCCAGGGGCAAGCTACAGTCAGAAAATATTCTAAGTCCTAAAACATACATTCAAAAAGGAGAAGACACACACTCAAAAATACCGAAGGCATACACTCAAGGAAAACGGAGGCACACATTCAAGAAGAAAGGAATTGGAGAAAACAAGTCATATATACAAAGCCCGAAGGCAATCATTCAACCATCAAAGAAGGAGCAAATGTACTTACGAGTAAAGGTTACAAACAGGCCGAAGCCGAAGGATCAATAGTGTCACCATTACAAATAAATGTTTACTGAATGCGTATTACATATCAACAACATCATTCCCGGGGGCCGCCTCCCCCGATTGGCTTCGAGGCAACCTCCGTCCCGGTGGCGTCCTCGGCATCATCATCGACGCCCATCATCATGGAATCATGAATCACCGGGCGCTCTTCTCCCTCGGGGAGGGGGACCCTCACGTCTGGCTGCAACGGGGGGAGGCCATACACTGAGGGGTTGAACTCATCCAGGGAGGTGCCAAAATGCCGGGCGAGCCTCCGGTAAACCAGGTGCTGGGTGAAGAACTCGCCAGCTTGATAGTAGGTGTCACCCCTCTCATTCATCCAGTCGAGCCCGGGGCCCCTCACCCACTCCTCGATCGAGGCCTTCACCACAGAGGCCACCCACTCGCTCTGGCCCTCGGCCTTCCAGCCCTCGGAGGTGAACCCAGCGATGGCCTCTTCTCGGGCTTTGACAGCAGCTTCAGCCTTGGCCTTCTCGGCGTCCTCAGCCGCTTGCTTTCTCTCCTCGGCCGCAACCCTCTCGGCCTCTACCCTGCCCTCGGCCTTCCCGTCATCTCTGGCCTCCTTCAGCCGCAGCTCCGCTTGCCGAAGGGCGTCCTCCAACTTGCACACCTCCCGGAGGGCAGCGTCCTTGTCATGAATTAGCTCCTTCACGGACTTCTCTAGCTCGGCCTTATGACGGCACCACTCCTCTCGCCTTCGGGCCTGCTCACCGAAGGTTATACACGCCTGTTGAATAACGGACAGGGGGTTCAGACGGGCATTGGGATTATGCTAAGTGTTAAGATAAAGTCAAAGTAAAAACACTTACAGTCAGAGCTGATCGAAGGGCCTTGGCTTCGAGGGCGTCATCGTCATAGGTGGAGAGGGCTTCCTTATCCATCATCGAGGTAATCCCCCTCAGGAAAGACATCGACTCGGCTGAACCGTGCAACACAGATGCCCCCGGAGCGAGGGAGAGCTGAATAATCTCCCGAGGCAGGTTCCCCGGGGGAAGGTCTGTTTGAGCCATCAGAGTGTCAATGGCCGGGGGGTCAGCGGAGGGCTGCTCATCGATTACTATGAGGGGGGCCGCCTTTTCAACGGCGCCCCCGGCAACCTTCTGCTTCTTGATCAGGGGCTCCACCCCCTTGTCTCCCTTTTTCTTCTTGGCCGCCACATCGGCCTTCGGTCCCCCGGCCACAGTAGCGGGAGCAGCAGCAACTGAAGGCTCCGCGGTCTCCTTCGGGAAAACCTCATCAATGGGCTTTTGACCCGAGGGCTCCTTCTTCTCCTTCTTCTGGGCCTGCGCCCTCTCCTTCTTCTTTTTCATCGCGAAGAGAGCCTCCATACCTGCAAAACAAAGAAAAGAGAATATTAACCCGAAGGGTTCATACCACAAACAACTATCGGGATGCAAAATGAAAGTGCCTAAGCATGAGACTAAGGGCCCTCGTAGACTACCTCCTGCTCCCCCGAAGGCCTCAGCGAAGACGGGGTACTTCTCGTCTGTTTCCCCGATTAACCGGTATCGTTGGAACCCGAGGGCATGCAAGTCTTCCTCAAAAGTGCATTCTTTGATCGTCACGACCTTCTTCTTGCCCTCCGGGATCTTGGCGAGTTTCAGGCCATCCTTCTCTAGGGCAGCACTCCCCACCCTCTCGTGGCGCCGAAAGCGGTCCCTTAGCTCCCTCGGGAAGGGATTCTCGGCCAACCGGACGTAGCACCATCTGTCTTTCCAGCCCTTATTGGACGAGGGCGCCTCGGTAAACAGCTTGAACTTCGCTACCTGCTGCAAATTGGCGAAGCCCTCGGCATTCGCGTGCCCCCCTCGGCACAAGTTGAAGCTTTGGAAGAAGAGGTCCAAGCTTGGGGTAACATCCCTCGTCCGGCACAGGTGCAGAAAGCCAGCAATGTATGAATGGCTGTTGGGGGTAAGTTGGCAGGGGATGAGTCCAACGAACCTGAGGTACTCCCGGAGAAATGGGTGCAGGGGGAACCGGAGGCCCATTGACACCGACAGGATGTGGACGGCAATGCATCCCTCGGGTGGCCGGGACAGCAGATCATCGACGCCTGGCTCCACCACTACGGCCGAGGGCCCAACGTGCAGCTGCGTGACGTACAAATCAGCCCTGTCCGCCTTCGACTTGATATCGAGGGCCTCGGTGTTTAGCCAGGTATACCCCTCTGGCATTTCAATAGGCCCCCCAGCACCAGCGGCAACACCCTTCTTCTTGGGGGCAGCCCTCTGCGACTTCATCTTCTTTTTACCGGGGGCTATTCTCAGAGGCGTCGGGTCCAACGGCCTGGAGGTACTAGGCTCACCACAGTCAGTCCGAGGGGGTGGCACAGCAACAGTAACCGTCATCGCCTCCTTTTGGGCTTCGTCCTCCGCCACCTGATACGCGAGGGCTAATTCTTCGTCTTCGCACTCGTGTTCGAAGCCCTCGGCTTCCACTTCAGCAGCGAGGGCCTTCTGCAACTCCAGGGCTACGGCTTCATCATCAGCAACCGAGGGCGCACTGCTACTTGACTCAACATCGGAAGCAACCTCGTCCTCAACCGAGGGCTCCCTCGAGATATTCTGCGAGTCGCTTTGGGACGACATCCTTGCTGTACTTAGGCTAGGATTCCTAAATCGAGGGCTCTCTACAAGGCTATAACACCTAACCTAAGGCCAGGGAGCAAAAGCTAACGAAAAATGGTGAGGAGCGAAGGGAGAACTAACCTCTGAAAGTGCTATGACCGAGGGCTTGAGTTTCTCTCTCTAGAATTTTTGGCAGAGCTTCGCTAAGGATTTTGGACGCGTAAGGAAGAAATGGCTCTGGCTCCGGGGTATTTATAGACCCCAGAGTCCGGGCTTGGGCCCGAAAACTGGGCCTCCGGATGGACGCCATCATTACACACCGCGTCTTCGCCCAACCAGTGACGCCGCCCACGGACAGCCAGCCATCACACGCCACGTGTACCATCAACGGCTATAAACCTGATGTTACATATTCCAACGGCTATATTTCCAACGGCTATATTCTGGAAGCCCCCGGGTTTTCTACTTCACTCCACTTCATCAAGGATAGCCTCCGGGTACACTTACCCAGAAGCGCCCCCGGGTTGTGCCCCACACAGCACATAACAGACGCCTTCGGGATCACTCCTTCAGAAACCCAGGGCTTCATATCAGGGCACCCCTCGGGGATTCCCCCTCAGCACTGCAAAACCGGGTAGCCCCCGGGGAGTTGCCTCATTGACGGATAACCCATGGCACACAGGTAATGGGAGCCCTCGAGTATCTTCATCACCAACTAATCAACAAACAGTGGACCCCCCGGCGACAATTCAATTACTGCCCTCATCCATCATGCCCTCGATCCCCAGATTGAAGGGCTACCCTTCGGCACCCCCAAGACATCAACAGCAAGCCTTCGTCTAATCAACAATTGAGCCCTCAGAAAAGAGAGCCTTCGGCATTACCGTTATTCTCCACTTTTGACCAAGGTTTCACATTTTCGATTCATCGTTGGGGGAATCCGGTGCACTCTTTTTCCCTCATTAGGATTTTTTCCCACAGGGTTTTTTCTAATGAGGTTTTTAACGAGGCATCCCCCCAAAATGAAACGAAAAGCGTCAGCCTCCGGCTAATCAACAGCAACGCAACTACTTTACTCCTTTTCACCACTTTACAAGTGTCTCAAGGAGTGGGGGACTAGGGAACCCCCTCGGGAAAAACATTAAAATTACAAAACTAGTGAAATTCCAAACAAACGACAAAGCAAGCCCTCAAGTCCCGACATGTGGGTAACTGAGGGACTGCCTTCGGCAGGGACATAAAAGCAACAACTCCTCACCAACTTCGGAGGTTACGACAGGACAACGTCAAAGGGCAAGCACAAATTACTCCTTTTCCCTCAAGTACCTTTCGGCAAAAGGAGTGAGGGACTCCTGATGGAGTATATGGCCCGGGAACCCCCGACCCACAGACTCCTACTACTCCAGCGAAGGCCCAACAGGCCCGGAAGGCCCAACAGGCCCAGATCACAACACCCAGAGTACCAAGCAGCCCACACTACGCGCCAGGGGTGCCTTCGGCCCCCTGGCCGAAGGCTCTAAAACTCTCACAGAACGGGTTTCTCAAGCAAATTAAGAAACTGGGAGAAAACGGCGAAAACAGTAGCCATCGGCACTGTGAGCCCTCGGCACCAGGGTGCCATCGGTTGGAGGAGCCCTCGGCTACTGCTCTATAGCCGAAGGCATCTTACTCGACAAGATATCCGCCTCACATGCGTACATATCACCGTATCCTGCACAGACGTCCCATCCAACAGCCGCATTAAATGCGGCCACATGCGGCCGCCAGCGCCAATCAGTTGAGGTGACCCCTCGGCCAATGAGCGCTTGACACGTGTCCCTGTCCGGCATTTATTGCTACTATAAATAGCACCTCATTTCCCCATTTGTAACCACGCTGAAAACGCTCCACATTTATAATACACTCTCTCTTTACTTGCTCTGACTTCTCTCTAAGTTATTCCCAGAAATAACCCTTCGGATATATACCCCCGGGTAGACTATCCATCAATATGCTTTCATACTCGAGTCTAATATATGAGTTTCTGACACAATTTCTAGTATAATATATGAGTTCCTGTGTGAGAGAAAGAGACATAGAGTGTGGAGTTATACGCTTCTACAAGAATCGATATTTTATTAGTTAAAAGTACTATTTTTTATGAGAACCCTTGATTTTTTTTGAAGTGAATATATTTTGCTTTTAAGTTTGCGCACTTTGTTTTACATGTCATATGTGTGTCTTGTTATTTTCACAAAAAATTATAATGTTATGCATATCATATTTGACGGGTCTATCTGACCCAGTTCCAAGATGACTCATTGGGTCCGAGTCACCAAGTATACGGGTCAAGTCTAAGTCCTTTATTTACTTAACGAGTCCGGGTCTGGAACACTATGTTTCAGCCCGGACCCGACAAGTGGGGAAAGGGTAAAGAGAAATAAGAGAATGATGAAGGGTTTAAATATATACTTCCCATTCCACAAAACTTGACCAAATTGACTCTCTTAATCAATGATAGTGAACTTTGAAGTGTGCTTTAAATTATCATATTGGTGTGAAATTTTATAAAATCTATACTATTATGAAAGTATTTTAATAGAGAATATTTTCAAATAAATTTCATTTCAAATAATTTTATACTGATAAATATCATTGATTAAATTTGATCACCATTAATAGAGAAAAGTAAATATAGCCAATTATGGTAAAATGAAAAGAATAAATTAAAAAAATAACCAAGACTGAGGTGGAAGTAGCATGAACCGAAAAATACATGTCCCAATCTTGAGCTAGGAATGGCAAAAAAAACGCCCCGCCCCGCCCTGAGACGTTTGGGGTAGGCCCGCCATGCCCCGTAATGTAAACGGGCCGGGTCTGACATGGCCTGTTCTTTGATCAATTCGGGTCTGGGTATTACTTCCGCCCCGCTTCGCCCCGACCCGCCCACATATTCATTTGCGCTTAGGCTTTCGTTCCTCACTTCCTCGAGATTAAATTATCTGGCCATGGAAGACACCAAAAGTCCCAGCCAGAGAAGACATCAAATGTCATGCACTCTTGCATCTATAAACCTAATTATATATTTATATGTATATATAATCACCCAACGGCCAGCTAGAGAGGACTTTCTGCCTTTGCCGATCTTCTGCGGTTTCCTTCGCACACAGAGAGGGAGTTCTACAGCAGTACAACACCGCAACAGGCAACAACGATTGACGGATTGAGGCATAACACAACTATAGCAGCGAGAGAGCTTTCTACAGATATGGTAAGTCAAATAAGAAACCCTAGATATCAATTATCAAACCCTATATAGCCCATATGGCTATATGTTCTTTAGTGTGTTTAGTTCATGTTTAATAAACAGTCTCAACTCATTTAGTTATGTATATTAGCAAACTCAGAATTCTCAATTTATGTACCAGCCTTCCTTTACATATATGTAATGTATTTTTACAAGCATGAATCGAAACACATTAAGACAGTATCATCCCATGATTGACTGGTTCCCCTCTTTGAAAACTAGAAACTAGAAATTATAATCATAATTTAAGATTATAAGATAGCAGATGAATTAAACTGGAAATTAGTCATCACTATTCCATGTAGTAGCTCTCTTAATTAGGAATAAAAACTGCAAACTGGTAGCCTTAATTCATTACAGTAGCAAAAGTAAACTGGAAATTAAAAATTAATATGGCAGCCCCTGTATATTAGGATAAAAATTAGCAATTTTTTAAGAAAATGGAAACAGGGACTGCTAATTTAGATACTTCCATTCTTTGATTTTTAATTTTTATACTTCCCCTCTTATCTAAGATTATAAAATGGAAACTAGCCATCATAGTTTAGGATAGTGGTGATCCCAAATTGCAAATTAATGGTCTTAATTCAATCAGATTGTTGAATTTGTTTTTTGATTAGAGATATTTATGTAACAATTCCTTTATAGAACTTTAACATGATTTGAATTTCTTTACTTTTGTATACTTATAATCAATGGAGGTTGAAGCAAATTCACTACCTACCACTCCAAGGACAAATGTGTCACAAGTTGAGCCACAAAATTCATCACCTAACTTGGTAGTTGATGAAAGTGGTGTGGCTGTTGTTGACATGCCGGTAGAGGTAAATGTTGATGGTGAAGGTTTGGTAGCAGAAGCTGGAACTGAAGTAGAATCTGGAACTGAAGTGGAAAAGGGAAAATAAAAAATCTGGTTGCACTATTTGAGAGAGACAATTGATGAAAAGCTCAAAGCAAGGTGCAAGTATTGCAAATCACTTTTATTGGGTGATCCAAAGAAAGGTACCAGCCACTTGCATAAGCACTACCGAAGATGCAACAAAAGGAAGACGACAGATATAAGACAACAACTTCTGCAAGCCAACTCCAAGAATAAGTTTGCACTCTCACCGTTCAACATTGATCAAGAACTCTCTCGTTTGGAGCTTGCAAGGATGATTATAATGCATGGCTACCCTCTTAAGAATTAAGATGGTTGAGCACACTGGCTTCAGAAATTTTGTGAGTAGTTTAAATCCTTGCTTCAAAATGGTCAGTAGGAATACAATTAAGAAGGACTGCTTCAATATATTTGAGATAGAAAAGAAGACCATGATGGGCATCCTTGAAAAGAATGTTGGGAGAGTAGCTGTAACAACAGATATGTGGACATCAGATTTTCATCAAAAAGGCTTTATGGTTGGTACCGCACACTACATTGACAATAATTGGAGGTTGCAAAGCCTAGTGATCAGGTTATAATCCTTTTTCGATATGATTATTTTTTCAGTTATTATTGTTTTTAATTATTGAAATTAATTAGGAAGCCATTTTTTTCATTTCCTATGCTGCAGAGTTCTGGTTATATACTTATATACTTTTCTTACTCTTTACCTTTAGATCACTAGTCCATGAGTTCTGTTTTAGTATGGAGTAGTTACTACTTATGAGTTTCAATTTAGGAAAATGGATTTTTGAGCTAGATTATGTTGATTGGTATAATTTACATTCTCATTTTAATGTTAGAAAGAATGAAAGATCTAAATTTTAATTGTTACAAACACTTTCATATTAAGATATTTAAATGATAAATGCAATTATTATTTATATAATTTCAACATATGTTTTTTGAATTTACTTTCAGGTTTATGTATATGCCAATTCCACATACCGCTGAAGTACTTTCTGAAGCTCTTTACACTTGCTTGCTTGAGTGGAACATAGACAACAAATTATCCACTATCACTGTGGATAATTGTTCTACAAATGATGCTATGCTTGACTTGGTCAAAGGAAAGCTTTCTTTAGATTCTCTACTCCTCGGTGGAAACTTACTCCATATGTGTTGTCGTGCGCATATACTGAACCTGGTTGTGAAAGATGGGTTGGATACCATTCATGGAGCAATTGAGAAAGTGCGAGACAGTGCATCCTATTGGAAGGGAACACCAAAGAGATGGGAGAAATTTGAGGATACAGCTCGTCAGCTACGCATTTCACTAGGTAAAATTGTAAAAAGCTCTCTCTTGACTATAAGACACGTTAGAACTCAACTTACATAATGTTAGATGTTGCTTTGGAATACAAAGATGTCTTTTCTCGTTTGAAGAATCATGATTAGAAATATAAATCACCGCCTACTGCAAATTTGTTTTTCTCAACTGTTTGTGAGATCAAACTTGCTTTAAATCATTGGATTTCATGCAGCATACCAACTGTGCAACCCATGGCTTCTAAGATGACCTCAAAGTTTGATAAGTATTGGTCGGTTGTGCATGGGATTATGGGTGTTGCAGTTGTTCTTGATCATAGGTATAAGTTATTGATTCTAGAGTACTATTTTGGGAAGATTTTCTCTAATAGTTCTGAACTTGAAGTTGAGAAAGTTGTTGATTTTTGTCGTGAGTTGGTGAAACAGTACGAAGAGCACGACAACAAACTGAAAGTATTTCTTTGTGTGATTTTAACTTGTATGGTTCTCAAAGAAAAAGAAAAAGTACTAGGTTACAGATTGATCTCTTCTTAGAGGATGATATTCTGCCCCGCGTGACTGATTTTGATGTTTTAAGTTGGTGGAAGTCAAACAAGAGTAAGTACCTTATTTTAAGTCAAATTGCAAGAGATATTTTGGATGTGTCTCTTTCTACTGTTGCTTCAGAGTCCACATTTAGCACTAGTGGATAGTTGATTGGTCCTCATCGCAGCAGACTTAAAGAAGAAACTATTGAAGCTTTAATGTGTGCACAAAGTTGGATTCTCGCTGATTGAATGGTAATTTATTTACTTAATGCTTAGTGATTTTTTTATACTTTATGTTAATTATTTTAAAATGTTTGTTTTACAAGAAAAAGGAGATGGATCACTATCACCAGTGTTTTATGATTCAGATGGTAACAATGAGGTAAGTTCACTGTAACTAGTTACTCTTTAGTTTGTTAATTAATAACTAATAGTCAAAGGCTTGAACCATGGGTAGATATTGAGAACTAGTTACAGATGTAGCACAACTAGTTTTGTATTTTTTGTTTACTCCAGGGGGCGTTTGGGGAGGGGGTCTGGGGGGACCTAGAGTAATCAGGGCTGAAACTCACTCCATTTAGTTTCAAACCCGAGACCTCCCGTAAAGGTGAGTGCGTCGGCAACCAACTAGTTTTGTAATTCCATCTGTCTTTATCTTCAGGAATTAAAAGAAAAGAAAGTAAAGAAAGAGCAGAAAGGGAAAATAAAACATTTTATCTATAGTTGCTGATAGAATGTACAAGATTCTATAGCTTAAATTCCGACATTACAATTTTGCAATTTACTCTTCCATTGCAGTAGTTCCTTCCGTTTGTTTATGGGGTTTTTGTTTTGCTCTTGCCTTTTTCTTCTTAAGCTTCTTCGGTTTGAGTTTTGAGCTCTTCTCTAAGTGGAAATTCCTAGGGTTCTTGTTGAGGCACACTACACATAGTGGTACCTATTCTATACAAAACAAATTTAAAACAAATAAAATTGTTCTTTAGAACCTTAGATCAGTTACCTTAGCTTGTCTTGATTATTATTTATATGTTTTTGTAGGATTAATCACGATGGGAATATTGAATGTTGATCCATGAAGAAGAGCATGGTTGGACTAAATCATGGAGCATTGCTAGATGATTTTGAATTTCTTGCCGAATCTACTGAACCATTTTGATATCACAGTTTTATTTTGAAGCTTTTGAATTTTGATTGTGATTTTTTGTTGTTTGAAACTATTGTCTGGTACTTTGGTGACCTTGATGTGTTATTGGCATGTGGAGAATCTTTTAGCTCTAAGCTACTTTATAATATCGTTTTACTTATTGAATTTATTGAATTACTTAGCATTAAATTACTGGCATCAAACTTTTAGCTTTATATAACTTCCAAAAAAAGTTAGAAACTATAGTTCAAGTGGGTCGGGGTCGAGGCACAGGGCAGGTCACGGGGCACCATGTCTTGGCCCGTTGCGGGTCACGGGGCAGGTCGGATCTACGGGTTTGAGGCACAGGACAGGTCTGGGTTTTGAACTACCCGCCCTGCCCGGCCCATTGCCATTCCTATCTTGAGCCCCATATTTTCACCAAAGACCATCCAATCCAAGCCTAGAATCAGTCTGTAGCTGGACCATGCCCACCCATACTTATGATTCATCATACTATGTCCCATTACACTTTGTCGGTATTAAGCCGTCCCATAGAAAGGTCTTACACTCAACGCCAATAGAAATCGAGGGACGAAAAAGTAATCCCCATGGTTAACATTATTTCCAATTTTTCCAAAACAAAAAAATGAAAAACACACATCATTACAGACACCACCAAAACATCTTTTTTTATTCCCAACCACCCCATCACCGAAAAGTTCAATAGAAGAGTGATATTGACAAATTATTTAAAAAATAATAATAAAAGAGTAAAGAAATCCAAAAAAGATGGATTTAGGGATGGCAATTTAACCCAATCTGATGGATACCCGCACCAAACTGAACCGGTCAAAATGAAGAAAACCGCTTTGACTGGGTAACGGGTACGGGTAGGGATGGACTCAACCGGACCGGCCCGCTACTGTGCAGGCCCGGACCGGACCGGGACCGGTTGGCCGGTTCCGGGCTTTTAGCCCGTTTGGGCGGGTTGGGCGGGCCGGGCTCCGGCCCAGTTTTGGGCGAACCAGCCCGGGCGGTTCGAGCCGGGCCCGGGTCAATTTTTTTTGTTTTTTCAATTTTTTTTCTTTTCCTAGGGTAGGGTTGGATGTTTTGGGGAGGTTTGGGGGTAGGGGTGAGGGGGGGGGTCGGGGGATAACAAGAAAGCAAAAAAAAAAGCCATTGAACCGGGCCCGGTCCGGCCCGGCCCGGTTAGACCCGGACCCGGTATCAACCCGTGCCGATTCCGGGCCCAAGGATTTGCAAAAAAAGCCTGCCCGGGCCCAGCCCGGAACCGGAATCGGACCAGCCCAGGTCCATCCCTAGGTACGGGGCGGAGAATACCCGATTTATGTAAATGGGTAATGGGGCGGTTATGGGTTTATACCTTCCGCCCCGTTACCCGCCCCGTTTAATTTGGATATGGTTACCCGCACAATAATTTACATATTATAATAGTTTATGTATTTATTATTTAATATATTAAGTATATATGAATAGTAGTACATTAGTATATGACACTTATTCCCTGTAGTTTTTTGAAAAATATTCAACTAATCGACTATCTTTTGCATTTCTAAAGTTGGTGCTCAAAGTTCACTATTTTAGATTTTTAATTTTCAATATCATTCATCATCCTTCCTTTGTTAACCTCTACATGATTTATTTTCTTCACATATTGATTATTTGTTTTTTGTGGTTTTCTTTACACAATTTTCACATTGTGACTCTCTTAATTTTTCATCCAATAACTTTCATAAAGCTCACATATGAGTTTAAAGTCCAAATATTGGGAAACATTACTCTAGATTGCTTTAATTTATGTAATTGCTAATAATTTTGTAGAGGTGTATTGGATGATTAGATTAATTTTGATTGGTTGCTCTAATTTATATCAAGTTTAAATTTAAATTATGATGTTTCTAAAACAATCATAGTATTAGAAGTACATTTTTTAGAAATAATTCCAAATCTGTAATCAAAATAAAAGTTGTGGACGAAAATGCAACTCTAGTAACTTTAGTATTTATAATTTTATTCAAATGTTATATCGTACTGACTATAAAACTTACCCATGGTAACTTATAGTCACATTTATGTCCATATATTTTTTATTAGTAATATTTTAGGGAAAAAAACTTCCCATTTTCATTATGTTGCTTGTATACATTAGTGTTCTTAAATTTAGATGTTGAATGATGATGGGTATGATTATTGAATTTTTGGAAGATAAATGTGTTTGTGATTCATATATAGATTTTACTATCGAGACAAGACTTGATATCTTGACGTTGATATAGTAAGAGATTCATAATTTTAAATCTAGACATAATTTGTGAATATTACGTTCAAACGATTATAATTTTTTGTGATGTTTTAAAAAACTTTATCTATGGTGCCATTTAATTTTGTTTTTTTAACTTAGGTGGTCAATTATAAGTAGTTAATCATCACTTTAGGATTTATACTAATTTTGAAGAAAAAAAAATCTTTTAATAAAACGGTTACCCGCGAGGAAAACCATTGTCGTGGATAAAAAATACCCGACGAGTAACGGAGCAATTTTGGAGAATAATATTATCAAACGAGGCGGGTACGAGTAATGGTATACCCGACCCTGAACCACCCCGTTGCCATCCCTAGATGGATTGAAGGTGACTTTGATGAGGCTCACCTCTCTATACCTTTCTTTAAATTTTCAATAATTTTGAAAAACAAAGTTACTATTCATCTTCCTCAAGCAATTTCTAGCAGCGTTAAGCACCACGCCCTTCAGTGATAACGACATCAAAATACGAGGACTACTTTAATAAGAAACGAGCCACAAGTCTTTGTTTGAAAACACGAAATCACATTTACATTTTCTATTCTTTTCCCTAATAAATACTTCCTCTGCCTTCAAAACAACTTCTCACTTTGACTCGCAAACATTTTATGCAAATTGAAATGGAAAGTTACTTTCTCAAAACACCCCTACTTTATACCCCTCCATCCCTGAAACATGACAAAGTTTAAAATGTATCCGGATTAGGCACGGACCGGGCTCCGGACCGGTTCAAGCCGGGCTTTTTTTTCAAGATGTTGGGCCCGGAACCGGACCAGGTTGATACCGGGTCCGGGCCAAACCGGGCCGGTCCAATGTTTTTTTGCTTTCTAATTAACCCCTGACCCCCCCCCCCCCCTCACCCACCCCTCAAACCTCCCCAAAACACCCAGCCGGGCCAGCCCTACCCAAGAAAAAGAAAAAAAATTGAAAAAAAATGAGCCGAGCCTAGGCTGGTTAATGAAAATTAAGGCCCGCCCAAACCGGGCTAAAGCCCGGAACCGGCCATCCAGTTCGGTCCAGGCCCATACAATAGCAGCCGGTCCGATTCACGAGCCAGTTCATGCCGGTTGGGTTCATCCATAATGCGGATTAATAAAATAAAAATTGTATGATTGAGATTTGTATAGAAGAGAAAAAATTAAGTGAAAGCACAAATTCTTTACTAAAAAGGGGAAAGTGGCAAAGATGGGACAATAAAAAAAGAAAGTTGAAAAAATTTTAAGGGACGAGAAGTATCAACTCAATTACAATGTAACTAAAATGGAGAGGTAATTTTGATATTTGATACTCCCTCCGTCCCATTTAAACGTTCTCACTCGGTTTACGACATTTGGTTGACCATAAAGTTAACTGATCTCTGTCATTAGTATAATTATTTTTAGTAAATAAAATTTATATATTCAGAAAATACATTAAAACCGCTACAAGTTTTAACCAAGAGAATTTAAATTTGATAAAAGTTGAATATATAAAGTAAAAGATTAAGAACAATGCATGTTGATCAGAGAATAATGGACGGGAACTTTTAAATGGGACTGAGGGAGTATTTGATATTGAAAAGTTGTTTTTATGGAAATGAAAATATTATTTTAGAATACCTAAAGAAGAAAAGTGAGAAATTGTTTTGGGGACAAAGGGATACATGACTAAAGTTATTTCTCTCCTTGAACAAATCTCATCCACAAAGTATTTTATGGGGCAGATAAGTGATGATTTGATGACACTATTTTACTCCCATTTTGAGAAAAACATTGTACTCCAATTTACATAAAAAAAACATTGTTTTTGTTCCAAATTTGAGTAAGTTTCTCTTTAATTCACTCTTTAAGTATACAACCTTTAAAAATCCATTTGATAACATTGAAATTGACTTGATCAACCGAGTTTGTCAAAAATCATGAAATTCTTGTTGAAGTGCTTAAATTGACTGATACAAAAAAAAATTAAAGAAAAACTTATTTCAAAAAATAGTTAAAAAGATCGTATAGTAACTTTAACCAATTTGGCTTGAAAAATAACTCCAATCTTCATTATTTGGATACTTGTGAGTACTAATTTCATTTAAATAGTGTCAACCCCTATTGTGGCAAACAATAAAATACTGAAGAAATGTTATACATTTCAACACATGACATCAAAAACTATGTGTAGTAGAATATAAGATTGATATGTTGAAAATAAAACTTAAGGTCTAGAACATACACTACCTCAATCCCACTTGAAAAGTAGCTTCGACTTTTTTTGGTCAAAATATTAAAACACAAGCTAAATTTTTGTAATATATACATATAATTAAAATTAAAATTCTTTACATTTATGAACATGTTATAAACGTGAATTTAACTACTCTTTTGATTGCTTAAAAATATAGTATTTGTGGAAATTGGAAGCCTTTTGTAGAACATAGGGTATATTTATCACATCCTAATTCTATTGTTGACAATTCAAATATTGATAACATAATTCAATTTGAAAAGTGCAGAAAAAGTACGTAGAACATAGGGGTCCTATTTAGCCATTTGGGATGATTATAATTCTGCATAATAATTGTGTGAGGATAAAATATTTCAATTTCATTTCAGTCCAAGTACTCTGACGCAGAATAAATATGCTGTAATTAATAATATACTTTTCCATCTCCACCCACAATACAGCAAGATGAAGAGAAAATCATACAAATCAGAATGGAGAGAAAAATAATCATAAAAGTCGTATATCCAATGAGGTGAAGTGTTGAACGTTTTCACAATTGGATCCTTGAATCTTATGGAACAGCCAGAGGCAGAAACCATTAAGCCATTGGTTTTGTTTATAAGAAAACCATAATACATGGCTAGGTTGAGGGAGAATAAAAATCATTTTAAACTTGAATAAAATATTGTGAAATCGCTCTGTTGAAAACATGCAGTTTGAATAGCCAATGGAAGGGTGTTAATCGATTTCTTTACTAAACAAAAACATAAATCCAGAGCTAACTGGAGTATGAATTTGAAGGTGGATTTAGGATGCAAATAAAGCCACACATCTCCGGAAGAGATTAAATACCTGCCAGCAGAAGTGTTTGAAGCCGGCTGCTCCTCATCATCATCATTATAATAACATGTTAAAAAGGAAACACCACTAGATTTGAGGAGAGGCGCTTCATAACCCCCGGAGGTTCAAACAATTAGAAGGAGCTTGTAGCCACGAAGTAGCCAGCTGGGGTCCACAATCATTCAAAAATTGAAGATCCCACAGCAGCAGGTCAGACAAGGAAGAACAAAACCATGTAGTAGAAGTAGAAGTAGTAGTAGTAGAGTGTAGAACGAATGAAGCAGTAGGTACCAGGAAGACAACCTCGGCACAAAAAACAGAAAAAACATTTTAGCAGTGTCTTTTTAAATACATTATATCACTAAGAAACAGTACCTACCATAGCTCCAATCCCGTCTACCAATAATAATAAAAATATAAATGTAAATGTCATAAGAGAACACGAACTACTGACACCAAATACACAGTTGGTATCAAAAGATAGGAAAGTTGAACCAAATCCACCAACAGAAGCAAAATAGTGACCCCACTTACACAGTTGTGATCTAGTAGTAGTTCAAGCTAAAGTAGTAACACAACTCCAGATGTTTTGGTAAGTGTCTTTTCTCTCATCCTCCCTCAGCTCCTGCTTCTGTGTCGATCCCTCACACCATTACTGTAAGAGATAAAATCACATAAAAAGAAGGCATGATAAAGACAATGAGCAGCAAATATTTCTTCTTATTAACCATCTTATATAAACTCTCATTGGACATCCATGCATGTCCTCTTGAGCATCTAGTATAGATTCTCATTGAACATCAATGCAAAGCTACACTCTTATAAATTCTTGGATGTAGAATTCTTAAAAGTCAAGGAATCCTACTTGGCCTTTTCGATGTTAATTTTTAGGTTTTGACTAAATTAAGAAATTGTTTTTGAAAAATGACATATTGAGGGAAAGTGGGGCAGTCTTTAAAAACCTCAAATGGATCAGGAAAAATAATACTGTCATAGTACCTAAAATCCCTCATCTGACCAGGCATGGAGGTTAGGAATATGAAAACTGTGTGGGAGGAATTTGTTTAGAAGAAAAAGAAATAACATGAACTAGATAATGATTTCCCTAAACGGGAATTGGGGATGATTTTAAATGGATCAAAAAGAAGTTTGTGGATTATTGGGGACAGAGAGAATGATAAAATAATACTCCCTCTGTCCCAAAAAAGAGTAGGAAAGCTTTTTTGTCCAATAAAAAGAGTCAGCTTCAGAAGTCAACATTGCTTTTTATTCAAAACTCCTGGAAAGGAAAGCGGCAAGAAGGTTAGTCAATCAAACCAAATAAATTGGAAATGAGTCTTCAGGGTATAACTGGCCCTTCACAATTTGGAAAAGATTGTACCTTCATTGATAGAACTAGAAATAAAAAAGTTGTACCTTACTACAACAAGATTCTATTCTTTGGGCAGAGGAGTAATCAAGATCTAACAGTAGACAGTTCCTAGGCATAATAAATATCATGTGAGCAAGCAAAAGCAACTATGTTGAAAATTATGCAGTAGGATTTTCACCCGTTTGCATAGGGAACTTCATCTCGTCCACGGTAAGGAGATCGGCTATAGCTACGTCCACGAGGAGGAGACAAACTACGGCGGCGAGGAGAACGACCACGAGGACTGTAACTCCTGTCACGGCTGCATATACAACCCCAGCAAAATCAATGAAGCATCAAAATATAGCTTTAATATAAGTGAGAATTACTAAGTCTTTGATTACACATGTATAACAAGTTATGCATGTGTTTGTATACATATGTGTGTATGAATCTGCACACATATATGTACATGAATATAATATAATGTGCATAACTGTTATTTGTTCACACCTCCGACCATAGCTCGGGCTCCTACGGTATCTACGTGGGCTGCGACTACGGCGCCTCACTCCACCTCCACCTCCACCACGAATACGGCATTCACGAGCAAAATGACCAGCTTCACCACACTCATAGCACTTCAAATCAGAGCCACCAGATCGACCACGTCCTCCTCCACGTCCAGCAACTCCACGTCCTCCATCTCTAGAACTGTGAGAAAGCTCAACCCTCCAACCATTCTTACCTATACCAGATATGTCATTCAAAAAATTATTACCGATACTGACCTGGAATCTTAAATAAGAGAGAATGGAAGAACAAATGGATGTACTTTAAAGAAACAGTTTTAAAAAATTTCTAATCTTATTTGACAATCTGGACACACAATTGTGCTTATAAAGAAGCTTAACTACAAATAGGTCTGTTTCAGGAACAAAAAGCCATACCATCCACTCCCCGAATTGCATCCAGAGCGTCTCTTGAGTCATCAAAATCGATGAAAGCATAGCCAGGAGGCCTTCTTGCAACCCAGACACTACAAACATGTTTTCTAAATGAGATAAATAGGCTAAACCCATACACATGCAGTCGTATTTAAAATAGATTGTGAATTTTGTTCAATACTTCAACAATATAAAGGTATTAAAACAAGAGTGCAAAGCATGCAAGAAATACAACTGATTGACATTGTCTGTAGGAGGTAGTATGTGTAATACACTCAACAACATCCAAGCCTTATTCCCAAAAGATTTTGGGGAGTATGTGTAATACACTCATTGGGATTAATTTAAATTATCTAATATCTAATTAGTGAATAAAAATAACTAAAAATAACCTGTGCAACCCGATTAGTTAAATACCACAACCAATGTGCTTAGTGGTGCATTCCACAAATACGTCATAGGACAAGCTAATAATATCCACTCAAATTAAGCCTCAGTCGCAAAAACAATTTCATCATCATCATTACCCTAGTGCCGCAAAGGCTCCCACCTACGGTGGAGTAAGGGGGGTCGGATGTATGCAGCTTTACCCCTATACTAAAAGCGAAGAGAGACTGTTTCCGGATGACTCAATCGCATAAACAAGTTAAATTACAAAAAAAATCATATCGAGACCATATTTATGGCCCTTTCTTAGTTTTCTTGATATGAACATTTTACACATCACTTTTCAGTAAAAACAACTATGATGATACCAATGTTCGGAATTGTTATATGACAGTTTGCAAGGATTGTGTATTGTGTAATGAGGCGCAAGTCTTAGTTTTAATGCAAATTTATATTTTAAAAATTATGAATAATATTATAATCAACTAAAATAATATATTAAAAGTAACTTTCAGAGTAGAAAAGAACAATAATGAGATCATTATTCATAACCAATCAAAAAGTGAGTCAAAGCATCACATTAGAGCAAGTACTTCATAGAGCCAATGAATGGTTCCATAATTTTGTACAGAATTGTGGTTAACAATGCACATCATACTATCTACAGGTTAAATGAGACAACTTCTAACAAAAAGGTGGAATGTAATTCATGTTCCTTGTTTTACTAATCTCTGAATGATAATTCTCAACCCTTTCTGCGTTTTGACATTGAATAGAAAACGCCCAAGGATTGATATGTTTAACATAATAAGTTCGTGGGAGGAAACACAACTTGCAGAAGGGTTATTGTGCAGACTTAAATCACTACATATGATTTATAACACGTTATTAACGTCACAGCATATAGTTGTTACAATCATTGACAGTGAAAAACAGTAAAACAGCCCTTGCATTCATCCAGAGAAGAAGTAAGAAGAGGAAATGAAGTCAGAAGAGTCTCAAAGGGGAAGTGATTGGTGCAGAAGAATATGGGAGTTTTTAAAGAAAATGGGGTGTTTTCTTAAGGGGCCTCAAACTATTTAACTTCAACCTCATAATACTATGGTGCCTACGCCTCAATGTGTAAGCTTCACCCCAAAAGACAAAAGCATTGTCAGGTTTGGTCTAGAATTCACGGAGGTGAAAATTTATGTGAACATTACATGGAACACCAAAAAATTGACCACGACCTCTATGATTTATATAACAGGAAAATTTGAAACATGAGAGTTAAAATATCAAGTGAGGTTATTTGAATAAGAAAAATAGCAGGGTAGTTATCTTTACTTTCTGATCACTCCATAAGTACGGAACTCATCTTCAAGCGCTGTTTCAGTGACCCTTGGGTCCAAGTTTCCAATATATACTCTTGACATCCCGAATAAGCACCTATAGAAACATTCACATGCAAAATTATCCAGTACAAGTAATGTTGAAACACAAAAATCCAGCACGTCTTAGAATCTCAGGCAGGATATTAGAAACTCGAAGAACATTTTTTGAACAAATAATTAGAGAAAGTGAACGAGATCGTATTCCAACCATTTGAAAATAGTGTTTGAAAAGGAAAACCATGATATTGAGAAAGACGAAGGTACGAATCAATCGTGGATCCATCATTCAACATTGCACGCACATAGACAGATCAGTCGAGCACACACTGATATTGAGATGTTGAATGAGAATATGTATTCACAAATAATCGAGATGCGAACCTGGAACCCTAGACTGGAACAGAAACCCCAAGCCAAACTCGCAGCTAAAGAAATTTGATTGCGTCAAGGGAGGGTAAAAAAGGAGCGCAGATCATCATAATCACAGTCCGGTCCGGACGGGAAAACCGGACCAAGCTGGACCGGTCGGACCATAGCGGATTGTGATTTCTTCTTTTCGCCGCTAGGTTTGCGATTGGATTCTTTCATCTGCGTTTACGGACCACATAGGTCAAGTAATCCATTTTACTATATTCAATTTCAACGATTTGTTTATGTATAGTTGAGAATGAATTTGAACATTTATTGAAATATTGAACATGAAATATAATTTACTATCTTCTATTTTGCATAAAAGCTCTTCTTTACTCATTTGAGTAGTAACTATCTTTTATCTTCATTAAATTTGCTTTGTGTCAGCTATTTGAGTAGTTAAATGCGTAAAACAGATATTAGTTGATTACCTCGTGTTATCCAAACCTGCGAATTCTTAGCACTGATTCGTTTCAGCAAGAGTTAAATTTCAATTTTAAATCTTTGATTAGTTGATTACTCGTGTTATGAAAACTTATGTTTTTTAGCACTTATTCGTTTTGAAGCACTGAAGATTTTTTACTTCGCGTATAATTATACGTATATGAGCATTAGTTTATTCATTAAAAGATGATGCGGAACCGGAAGGAAGGTAATTTTCTCGACCAGTTTCATTTAAGACATTAAAGTTCCATTAGTTACTACTGAAATAGATTACACAAAGACAAAAAAATCATGAAATAGCAGTACCACGATAAAACAACATATATAACTATTTTTCAATCTTTTGTTTTTTTAAATGTTTTTGGAAACCGAATTGAAATCCACCATGAAGGGAATTTCAGGAGAATGCCAAAACTTGCATATGTAAATGGTGATGTTCACAACACTTTTTAGATCCAGATAGGATTTAATATCCTCACTTGATGAAGTACATCACAGAGGCTATGTATAAAAAAGTGGATTCATTATCATACAAACTACCCAACGATACTCTAGATGGGTTAAGACCATTATGCAATGATGCTACAACTCTACGGCTAATTGAGATGGCATTTAATTACAGTGTAGTAGAAGTGTATGTGGAGCACGAAATTGATGAGCCCGAACTTGTTGACCACTTAGGGCTGCCCTCAACATTAATTGTGTGTGGGGGAGGGTAATGATACTTCATTGGGGGTTGAAAGTGAGGAAGAAGTAGGGATCGAGGCAGAGCATTACAGTGAGTGTTAAGACACACATGGAGAAGAAAAGACAATGAGGTAGCACCAAATGAAGAATGCTAACACTACAAATGTCACGCCCCGGACCTACCCGGACACGTCAACGACCCGCCGTACAGTACGAATAGCCAACCGCAGTCCAACTCATCCATACTATACAAGGCGTCTTGAATACCATTCACACATAGTACATCCATAAACAAACATAATGTAAAATAAACATTTATAGCAGCGGAAACATTTAACACAAGTGTTTATGCCACACCTTGGCAAACATGAGCATACAAGCCCCCAAATAATTATTCAAAAACAATATCCATGAGCATTATTTAAATTGTTTTCAAAACAGAAACGGAAGAAGCACGAACCACGTCTTCTTCCTTTGATCTTCCCGAAGCAACGGGCGGTGGCAGCAACCTTCAAGTTCTATCTGAAACTGTGAGGTGGCCTCCCTCGTGAAGGGGATGTCAGTACTTGGAAATATTTGACAAGTACAATAGCAACTATACTAAGTATAATTGATGTTTCAATTTCTAAGACCCTCAATTCAGGATGATATTACATTACAGGACATAACCCTCGGTTATCCCTTTTTGCTATTTAAATCATACTTACTTTATATGAAGTCAAGTAGTCGGCCCGTGGGCCCATATTCATTTAGAATTCATCATTTCCATTCCCCCGTGACCGCAAGTCACGATAACCCCGTGGGGTCCCATCGAGCCCCAATTGTATAGCAAGGGATCGGCCCAACTACATTTCTATACAATCCTCTAACTCAATATAACACATCAAAATTGTATGGCAAGGGCTCGGCTCAACTACGTTTCCATACCAATCGTAACTTCATAGCAAGGGCTCGGCCCAACTACGTTTCCATGAAGATCACAAATACATGGCAAGGGCTCGGCCCAACTACGTTTCCATGCTAATCATATTACATGGCAAGGGCTCGGGCCAACTACGTTTCCATGCTAATCATATTACATGGCAAGGGCTCAGCCCAACTACATTTCCATGTCATCCTAGAGTCCAACTCTAATTATTTTCATAATCCAATTCTCAAGCAAATCTTATGCCTAGAATCAATTCCCTTGGGTAGCCTTTAGGCCTACCCCTAACGCACCTTAGTGTTCATACAATTCAACCTTAAAGTATCTCTTGAGACTACTTAAGGCATACCTATTCACAATCCTACCTTTTAGGATTTATTTCATCATTTATTTATATTAATCCCCCAACTAGTATTTTGATACTAATTGGAAAATCTTAGAACATGCCAAGTTCCTATTTTCCAATTGGCATTTCATTTCAATTGATTTTCCAACCCAAGTATAGTTTGATCCCAATATCAAAAATATCACTTTAATCCATTCATGAATTTCATACATGAAGTAAAGTATATTTTATCACAATGTCATCATAGTAATTCCATTAACATGATGTTCCATTCATTTCACATAATCATACACAATTGTTCTAATTTGTATATCATGCTTCACTTACTCATATCAATATTATTTTCATTTAGGCATTATTAATCATTAATAATCCATGAAAATCCCATTTAATTACCTTAGGCAATCTTATGAAATTAACTCACTAATTATAAGCAATATAGTCAGCCATCCTCACCTCGTGATGTGCTACAATAGTTGCCTTTGCTAAGCCCCTCGATCAATCCCCGTTCTAGGCCGATTGAAAGTGGAAAACTGGACTGTTGGGCAAAAGCCGGGCGGCTTTCACAAAAGCCGGGCGGCTTTCGTAGTCTGCAACTACAGACAGTTCCCTATATGTGGCGGTTTCCGGCGATTTCGACTCCTATCGATTCACCAACACTTCTAAGTTAATTACCACCACTTTATATCAATATTCTACACTTTTAAACGTGTGGAACTCATGGTTTAATCCACCGTATGATTTATTAAAAATCATGTGAAGAAAATACTAGTTAATGAATACTAGCTAAGTTCTTACCTCAAATCTTAGCCTTTTTGTGTTGGGTTTTCTTTCCTCTTGCTTCTTCCTACCTTGGACCTTGTGAGAGCTCTTCCTAGAGGTTCTCCTCTCTTGATATGGACGAGTGGTGTGAAATGAAGGAGGAAACATCTCCCCAATCAACTCCCAAGATAATACATGTGTTTTTTTTTTAACCCCCGGAAGGCAAACCACCAAAATCAGTGGGACAAATGCCGGGGGACATTTGTCGGGATTTATTGAAGAATCAGAAAGATAACAAAAAAGAGGGGGACTATGCCAATACCTCTTTCAACAAATAATACATTTTAAATCATAAATCTAAAAGAAGGTAAACCAAATATATCTAAAGTAACAGCACTCTTAACAGGCCTAGGTAACAAATTAAGATCAGTCCAATGTCTAAAATGGGCTGAAGATAAACGAGCAAGCAAATGGGCCGGCTCGTTAACCTCACGCAAAATGTGTCTGAAGCGGATGCCTTTCCTAAAACATAACCTCCTGAAGTCATCAATCTCCTCCATCCACCGATCCTTCTTCCTACCTGAAACGTAATCTACAATCTCTCTAGCATCACTTTCAACCTGAAAACTTCCAAAACCTTCGTCAATAGCCCACGTAGTTGCCCGTAGGAGTGCAAGCAGTTCTGCGTGATGACTGGAGCAAGCTACGATGGGAAAAGAGATAGCTCCGATGACAGCTCCTAGTTCATTTCTCAAGATTGCGCCTCCGGAAGCTTTTCCAGGTAAATACGCTGCATCGACGTTGAGTTTAATACCTCTCTTAGGTTTAATCCATCGAATAGATTGAAGAGCCATATTAGATTTAAAGTTACTGGGGATGAGATTTTCTTCAAAAAGAATCTTATCAATGGAGCAAAATTTAGAAGAATTAAAACTCTGGACCCAGGTTTGAGTATATAGCTTGATTTTCTAGATAATACTTTCAACCGTAGGAATAGAACAAGAAGATCCCCAGATTAGATTACTGTAAACCTTCCAAATATGCCAACTGATAATGCCCGGAAGATTATGTCTAAAAACATCAGTGAGGGTTTTGCTTCCTGCTTCAAGCCACCAAACAAAGAAAATATTTCTGATTGAAAAAAGATTAGTGGGGATAACAATATTCAAGATCCTGGAGAAGTAATTCCAGATACTCTTCGAGAAAGAGCAATCATAAAAAATATGGTCAGTAGTATCATTATTCCTTCTACAAATAGGGCACATAGAGGGCAGAAGCACCATCTGGAATCTTTTAAGATTGTCTGAAATAGGTAAAATACCTCTAAATAACTTCCATTGAAAAAGCTTCACTTTAGATTGTTGTTTAGGATGCCAAATATGTCTGTATGAAAAAGCAGATCCCTGAGAGTGTCTACTGACATTAAATGCAGATTTGAAGGAGAAGAGACCATCAGAAGAGGGTAACCAAATCAGTTTCTGAGCATTCGAAGTGTCAGTCCAGGAGAGAGCAAAATCATTGATTCTGCATACTCTTTTCCAGTTTGGAGAATCAGTAAGTTTAGGCTGCATATCATTCCCTCTCTGATATTTGTTGTGCATAAATTGGGACCAAGAACCAGAATGAGATTTCCATTTCCACCAAAGTTTTAAAGAATGAGCTTTTTCAAGATCTTTAATAGATCTTATGTCCAATCCCCCTTCTTCTTTAGGATAACACATCTTGGACCAAGTAATCCAATGATACTTAGGTTTGTCATTATCAGATCCCCAAAAGAAATTGGCAAGCTTCTTATTTAAAATCCTTTTAATTTTCTGTGGCAGAAGATCAACAGCTAGAAAGTGCATTGGGATAGAACCTAACACATGTTTGATCAAGATAAGTCTCCCAGCCTGACTTAAATTCTTTTGCTTCCAAGTAGAAAGCTTAGCATCAAACTGTTGTATAATATCGTGACAATGCTGATGTCTATTTATACCCCTGTGTAGGTTAGCTCCAAGGTATTTCAGAGGAAGAGTGGTTTTGTGCATTCCTAACAACTCTTTGATGATCTGA